TGTTAGTCAATGTCACCTGCCGTCACGTACCCATCCGCTCCCGCTCCCCACACTCGGACACCATTTTGTGGCCTGTTGTGTCTCCGCATATGTGCCACACGGCGGCAGGTTGGCAGGTATGTACATATGTGTGAGGAATTCTGTTGGCCACTCTGTCGCTCTCTCTGGCTGTGTATTTGGCCTTTAGAATGCCGAGAATGAGCAGCAGCATCCACTTTTAAAGAGGCAACTACTTTATGCATATTCATAGCAGGAGGGGAGGCCATTTCAGGTGCTCGGTGCTTGCTGCAATTACCTAAACAGCGAATGCTGTCCGGCACTCGAACGGAGCACTTGGAGCGCACTCTTTAAGCCGCAAACACGCAAAGAATACGAGGGAATGCCTTTATGAATGCCTAATGACATGGAATCCTGACGGGAAGGACAGCCTGGTCGGACACCTATTTCCACTATCGCTCCTGCGGTTGGTTCTGGTTCCACTTCGCACTTTGGCGGTCGCGTCAGAGAATTCTTGAGTGCTCTTCCCAGATGAAAGCATCAAACTGCCTGGATGGCAATGTCCTGCAACTGGGTCATACCTTAAATTGTGTGTTGCGTTGCGGTAACTTCCGCTGGAGGCCAAAAAACTTCAGAACAAGGCCAGCCCCCTCAGAAGACCAAAGTTTATGAAAAGCGCATTCCTTGCATGCCTACGGAATTTAATACTAAGGTATTCTCCACTCATTGAAATTTTGCTAAATTTAATAAAATAAAAATTAAGAACATCCCTCTTTCCATTGCCACAAAATTGTACAAGTTTCCATAAATTCCATAAAGGTCCTACGACCACGATAAAGGCCCCAAAGAAGTGGCGAAGCTCCCATGTTTTCTTTTTCCTTGTTCATTCTTCATTTTTGGTATTCATCCAAATACTCTTCCTCTCTCTACCTGTTCGAAATAGCCTTTCTCGATGGCCGGAAATGTTACTCCATTCAAAAAGTCCAAGAAATGAATATCTAGTCCACTCCACTCTTTCCATATTTGACTTTCATTGTGGAAATTTCACTTTCCTTTCTGTTGATTTTGTTTAATTAAAATTCTAGTTCGAACACATTTTAAACTGCAGTTAAATTCATGTTGATTTAAGCGTTTCTCGGGGTGTTTGCTGTGGCTTTTTGTTTGATTAAATATTTGCTTAAATTGCGGCTACATTTTACGCCCTTCCCTCTTCCTTTCTCCGCAAAAGTGGGGCGGGACGGAGGCCTTGAGAGGTTTTCCCCCGTTAATGCTAATTGCATTTTGTCTGCCAGCCTGCTCGGAGCCAATTGAATTACACACAAAAAAATAGTTGGCAAAGACAAGGGCCGAAGCCGTAGCCATAGCCGAAGCCGAGGACGAGAGCTACTTGTCGGTCGGCTAATTTAATGTGGCACAATTTTCCGCTCATTTTCCGGCTTTTTGTGCAGTTGTCTGGAGAATGCTGCAGTGGGGGGCGCCAAAGATCAATGCAGGTCATGCGATTTATTGGCCTGCCGCAATTTGCATTTAATATGCAAGTCCTCCATGATTTATTGACCGATATCCTGTATGGCCTGCATATCCTGCATAACCTGCATAAGGTATCAGCATCATCCACTGGCTCTCATCAATTAGGCAGCCGAAATGCGCCTGCAAATCACTGGGAAAATGGAAAATGTCAATGTCGGCTTAAAAGCACTTTTTAAAAATCAGCATAAGGCCAGAGGGAGACCAGACTAGACCGAAGGTGGGCAAGATCCCGGAATGCTGTTCATATTTCATTTGGCCCAAAGCCTTGCTTGGCAAATCAATGGGAAACTTGTATATTTTCAATCTACATATAATCTGTGGCATGCTGCAGAGGTAGAGGCAGTGTCAGTGGCAGTGGCACATCCCTTTCCTCTGATATATTGCGCTGCGACATATATCGATGATTAAGGAGTCCGTCCGGTGTCCTCCTTTGTTCGTGCGTGAAAGAAGTTCCTCGCGAGTAGCAGAAAATTCGCATAAGCCGGGTGCCATATACAGATTTATTTCGATATATGTTTTTGTATCGCATGTATATGTGTATGTACATATTTATGTATTATTTATCCTGCCAACACAACAATATGTTGCCAAATACATGCCTCAGTGTGGGTGTATGTACATACATATTCCGCTCCGTATATGCCGCTCCGTTAAACATCTGCCGTATTCCCACACACAAAAACCGTCTCCACATTTGAGGAGCATTGCTGCTCGGTCAGGCGCGTTCGCCAGCTTCAAGGCCCACAAAACAACAGCAGCAGCCGTCAGCCGGAATCAAACGCACACACACCACACACAGCATTCACACACACACGTAAATATTTATTTTGGAAGCCCAAATGCTGATGTGCCTATGCACAGATTTTCATAAAGAAAACTTTCAAATGAGTTTCCATTGTAACGCCCTAATGCCAAATTAAGGCATGCCGCCGCCTGCACCGTTTTGCACCGCCTGCCGTCTGGTGCTGGACCGAAACCATCATCAGGTTTATATGGCAGAAAATGAGACGTCAGACATGTCACATGCACACACCCACACCCACTCACAGACACACCCTAGCACGCAGGAGAAGCCGGAAAATTCCTGCAAAAAAGAACAGACGGACGGACAAAGAACGAGCAGCTTATAATGAACGAGCCAACCAGCTTAAGCATCCAATCCATCGGAAAAAGTTTCAAGTTCTTTTTTGTACGAGTATTTTTTGGTTTTTTGGTGGAAAGTTACCCATACGACATGTTGGCTTCGAGTCACTCGGCAAGTGGTTTTTTCGACTACCAACAGCTAGGATGTACACACGAATTCGTATGCGGAGGAGATTGATGTGCCAGAAAGAGATACCGTAAGCCCAAAAAAAAAGGAGCCCTCCAGAAGGAGTATTCCAAAAGCTGCCCATGACATGTCCATCTTCGTCATTCTCCACACGAATTCCCTCCAAGCATTAAATGAATGGTTAGCCCAGACGAAGTGCCTGTCCCAAACAGGCTTAAAGTGGAGCCTAAAGTGGACTGGAGTCCGGAAAAACTCGCTTGACTTTGCTCAATAAGCAAATTAAAAATGCGTGTAATGGCAACTGGGAGAACTCCGATTGAAGTTTTTCCACAAAGGGGAAGGTACACCCCACAAAAGGGAAAATGGGAAAATGAAATCGACCGTATTCGGAATTGCCTTTATTTATTATTTTCATCCTTCTAATTCCTTTTAAGCTCCATTTTGTGTGTGTGTGTGTATGTGTGTGTGTGTGTGGGTGGGTAAATTTATTTTTCATTCTTTCGAGAGACAAATTGGGGCCAAGTGGGTATTCGATAAGTAAATGCGAGTAGTACTTAGCCCCGATCTGAGGTGATTCTTTGTGTAAACACCTTAATCACATTTCACTTCAAAGACCAACAATTGACCTGCTGCTGTGCTTATGCTCTGGCCAAACATTTGTTTATCTGCATGTACATACATATATCTGTACACGTATACCTATTCGCACCATATATATGCATAAACTACATTCGTACTGGATTTTGTTTATAGTTTTGTGGTAGCAGGATTACTGGTGGCTGTAGCTGACAATTAATTGTGCATTAATTCTAATTAAGTCCATCTTTCAGTTGCCGATTAATTCCAGAAGAGGTCCTGCAGGGTTGGATCCCTTTCGGGGTAAATCTTTCAATTAGCCCCTGAGAGAGTGGCATCAATTTTGTTGTTGGAGATACATCGAAATGTACTTATCGGGCGACAGTCCGACCGTCTATGCTTATGATTTATCTGAGCTGCCAAAAATCGGACATACTTTGGGGCGCCACCACTCACACAGCCCGACTCTAACACACACTCACACATACAGACACAGACACAGGAACAGGGCCGAGATGGGCAGCGGCAACAGCTTCAACTTGTTGACGTTGGCCTCAGCATCCCTGGCACTCCCCCAAGTGGTGGGTGGAGCAAAAAAAAAACCAAAAAAAGGCATTGGGGCTCAACAAATTGTTGAATGTACATATATACCATCCTTCTCTCTCCTTCTGACACTCTCACTCTCTCTTTCTCTGTGTGTGTGGGCGAATTTATATTACATTTTCCCTCCATCGCATTTTACTTGGCAGAAAGCAACACAGCGGCCAGAATGAGAGACTTTCGAGTGTTGGACTAACTGTTTTGCGGCATGACATGCCAGAACCCAAGGTCCAAGGTATATTCATAATAGGGTAAAGGTAGCATAATTGGGCTGCCAGCTTCCTCGCATCTCTCTATCGCTCTGAAATCGCAGCTGCCACCGTGTATTCGTTTAAGATGAGGCCGCTGACATACCTTATTATTAGCACACCCCTTGCCAGAGCCAGAGCCAGAGCCAGAGCCTGGTGCTCGACCCCAGTGTGCCTGGTGCTAGGGAGATGGGACCTCCGCTGGAATACAGGGAACGAAACAGCGTGCGTAAAGGAAAAGGAGAGACTGAAAGAATACCGGAACGAAACACGGGCCTGCTGAAACGTTAAAGAGCAAATAAATGTCTCGAGGCAAACAAAACGAAAAAGATGAAGCAGAGAGGCTGAGCGGCTGAGAGGCTGAGTCTGGGCTGACGACACGGTCTGAGAGGGGCTAAAAAGAGCCGCAAACTCCATGTACAGACATGCTCATATAAATAAATACATACATACGTTTGCATGGCGGTGCTCAAAGTAAAACATGGCTGTGCCTGTTACGGTTACATTTCGGGTACTACCATAATACTCCGAAAGAGTCAGGACGGGACAGAACGGGACGGGACGGGACGGGACACTCGGGGACTATTTCAAACGAGCCAAAGTGGCATGGCACATTCGGGGAATACTCCGGAAAATACTCCACCCCGAGACGGTGGTGTGGCGACAGAGGAGCTCTGTATGGCTGTTGCTTTCCTTTCACTAGTATTATTCTGCTTTGGTCAATTTTTATGCCGTTAATTGTTTCATCGCAAAAATTTTATTGTTTTTCATATATTCACCTTCTTTTTGCTGCCATTTTTAATACGCTTTTCCACCTTTAGGCTATTTATTAAGAATTTTGATTAAACTTTTTTATTTTATTTTGATTTTCTTATATATTTATTCAACTATTTTTTGTTGTTGTTGTCGGGCAGGTTGTTGAATCTTTGATGAACTCTCTCTCTCTGCCACACAGACACAAACTCACACACTCAAACACTCAAACACATACACATGGTTGTCTTTTTTCACGGTGGAATTTATGGGGGGAGCCTGCGTCGTGTCTGAAAGCTCGCCAAACACTGAACACGCCAGATCCAGCAGAAAGCAGAAGCATGCTATGCGCCCAGTACTACTGTCTGTCTCTGCTAGGTGTCTGAGGCATTCGCAGGCAGCACTCGCAGGATAGTAGCATATTTCGTTACCGTTGTGCTGCTCTGTGCAGGCAAAACGGCACCAACAGAGAGAAATATGTTACGCAAAGACCAGGGAATGCCTCACCTCACCTTTGTCTCTGCTGTTATTGTCACTCTCTCGCTGTTCGCGTTAACAGTGCTCTGTTACGCTCTGGCATTAGGTCAATGTTAACAGCAACTGCATTACGAGCAACCTTTATCCAATCTGGCTAGCCTTAAGTCTCTTATTTATATGATGCTGTTGCATATTTGAAGCCAACCGCCCCCGCACACTGGGGGGAGCATCAGCATCTGTTTTCAGTCATACGCATGAGGTTATGTGTGTGTGTGTTGTGGCACTGGGAATGTGTGCCGCAAACTGTTTACGAGCTTGTTGCTAAGTAGTCCTGTAGTAGTTTATTCGTGGGTGTGTGCGGCGAGCGTTTTATGGGTCCTGCTTCCGCCACCCAAGCGTAAAAATCTAACTTCAGATTTTGCACACATCAGCCCACCCACATACACACTAAGATACAGAGGGAATATGCAAAACGTTTGCTTATGTTATTATAGGCAACCGCATGCATGGCGCGCAGCGTGCGTGGGGGGAGAGGGGATCTGCTTTTTATGCGTTTATTTAAAGAAACCATAAAAACTATAAGGAAATATGCCGCACTTCCTAAGCACATGTTGCCCGAGAGTTCCAGCCAGTCTCTGGGGTAAAGGATCCAAGGAGTGTTCTAAAAATGGAGGCCCACACACACACACACACACACAGAGGGACACAAAGGGGAAGGGACACGGCACAGTAACGGTCTGGCTCAGTTTTGGTAATGGCGGGCTCTCTGCCGACTATCCAGGGAATACGAATACAACATACAACATCCACATTGCCACGGAGCCCATCATCACGTTTATGCACCGTAACCGGATGAGGTGTCATTCGACCAACTTTCCTTTTGGAGGCTTCTTGGAGGGCAATTGGCAATTACAACGTGCGACAATCGTCTAATTGCCCGCTACAGATATCATAGGATTCGTTTCTACCGAGCTTCTACTAGATAAGAACCTTTAACGTTAGCTGGCAGCGTTGGAGCTGCGAACGCGTCCAGACTGCGACTGCGACTGAGCCCCGTACACCGAAGAATGCCGCCACGTGTGGCTGAAACTGGAGAATGCCGCTGCTAAGAGCAGAACAGGGCAGCCTTGAAACTGGCGGCTAACAGAGCACTGCCGTTAACAGAGACGGCCCAAAAAGTTGGCCAATAGGTCAGTTACACTGCAGTGCCGCCCAGCGCACCACCAACGAGTTCTGGCATTTGACGCAGCGCTACTACAGTTTTTCCCCTGTTAAAAATTCATTTTCATTAACAGACACTGACAGAAATAGTTTAGTTTATTCCCCAAAGCGGATTCCATTATAGCTGGGGCTCCTCGTTGACGACGGGCTCGCCATCCAGTTTCCGTATGGTAGGCAGTCGTTTGATGCACTCCGCCCGCCACGAGGGATCGTCCAGACCCTCGGAGAGGGGATTGCCCACGACAACCAGATCCTCCAGCGACTCTATTTCGGCCAGGCGATTGAACTCGGACCAATCCTTGATCAAATTGTTGCTTATATAGAGCACCTTCAGGCACTTGAGCGTGGTGAGACCCTTGATTTTCTCTATCAGATTGTAGCTGAGCCAGAGCTCCTCCAGGGTCTCGGCCACGGCTTCCTTGAATGTTGAGGGTACATGTGTATACATAAGTAATAGATTCAAGTTTCACCTACCAGACCCGATATTTGCTTGATATAATTGCGGGACAGCGACAACACTTTGAGGCACTTCATCCCGGACAAACCAAAGATCTTCTCAATCATATTCGTGGACATGCTAATGCGCCTGGAAAACAGATACGTTTCGTAATATTCCAATAGTTCCTATGTCCAATCTAATCTCACTCGCACTGCACCAGGGTGCCCAGGGTGGCGTCCATTTTCTCGATGGGCGGCCACTGGAACTGCAAGTCAATGTCCTTGGCGGTGAGGGAATTCTGCTGCTCACGGTCCTCCCAGCGCTTCAGAGCCTCCTTAATTGTTGTTGCTTTGGACATGGTTTGATCCTACACCTTACAGATTTTCACTTTTCCACCGAGTGGAATAGGAAATTTTGGCAAATAAACAATCTATTTAGTTGCCAGGGGAAACGAGAAAGGTTTCCACATACCCTACAAAATTTACTCAATGAAGTGTTGGGGGAAATACAATCGTGTATTTGAAGGATACGTGATTATTACGATACATTCATTAGTTTATACAGAAGAGGAGTTTGTACGCCAGGCTGGATCATCCAGCAATGGGATAATCGCTTAACGACGGTCGGTCTTGCCCGTGCCACGCTTGCCGGAAAAGAGATGGCGCGGCTTCTTGGTGCCAATGAAGCGATCTGCCTCGCCCTTGAGTCCCCATCCCTTGGTGACCTTCTTGGCAATGTCGTGTCTGGCCTTCAACTGAGCCTTCTTGCGGATAGCCAGGTTCTTGATGCCCAGGGTGTCGCGCGTCGGAGCACGTTTCAGGGGCAGGCCGGTCGATTTGACAATCGCCGATTCCTCCTTGTCGAGCAGCGGCACCTTGGGGTTCTTCTTGGAGCCAACGGCCACAACGCCGCGACGCAGATCCACCACAGATTTGGTAAAGTTGGCTGTCTTGCTGCCGGACATGTCCACGCCCAGGCCCTCCATGGTCTGCACCAGTTTGTTGACGGAACGGTCACGAACCTTGGGCTGCTTGTTGCGTGGGATGATCGGCTTGTTCTTTCTGGCAGTGAGACGCTTCTCGTCGCGCAGCTCGAAACGCTTGCCGCGGATCTGCTTGGCCATTTCGCGGATCTCCTTGAGGGTCTCGTCCATGGACATGTCTGGTACGGCGTAGATGCCGCTCTCCTCCCGTAAGCCCTCCTCGCGCTCCAGTTCCTCCAGCTTCTCGAAGATGTCGGGATCGATGTAGTCGGCAATGTTGCGACCCTGCCAGAACTCGGGTATCACATCGTAGCGCTCCTCCTCGGGGATCTCGCTGTAGTTCTTCTTCAGGTCGAGCGTGTAGTCGTCGCCCATCTCCTCTTCGATCTCCTTCTCCAGCTTACGCTTGCGCTCCGCCTTCTCGGCGTTCTTTTCAAGGCGGGTCAGAGCCTGCTCGGGAATGCAGGGAGCTCGCACCTTCTCGTCGCGCGGCGCAGGCATGGCCACGTGCAGGCGATTGAGAATGTTGTCCACCTTCTTGGTGCGCATCTTCTGGTCCACACGATAGGATAGTAGACGCTCGCAGGCCTCGGTCTTGACCTCCATGACGCCCGTCTCTTGGACAGTGGACATCAGTATGACCGGAACGTTCTTGTCTTCCTGCAGCTTTGTGATTATCTCCTGCCGCTCCTTGGGCAGATCCTCTGGCATCAGAATGTCGACCTTATTAATGGCCAGAATCAAGGGCTTGTTGGTGAACAAGGGCTTGATGCTTTCGAACAGCGCCACCTGCTCCTCCAGCGAGTGTCCGCACTGTTCCGAAATGTCCATGAAGTACAGCACACAGGCCCTCAAATGGGCTAGCGCCGTAATGGCCTGCATCTCGATGACGTTACGCTCCTCGAGCGGATGGTCCAGAATTCCGGGCGTGTCGATCACCTGCCAGCGCAGGTATTTGTAGTCTGTGTGGCCCACGTACAGGGACTTGGTGGTGAACGCATACGGCTGCACCTCGACGTCGGCGCGTGTGATCTTGTTGATGAACGAGGACTTGCCCACGTTGGGGAAGCCGCAGATGATGATCGTCCGCGAGTAGGGATCAATCGTGGGCATACGCGACAAATGCTGACGGACCTGCTCCAGGTACTGGAGGTTGGACGCCTGACGCTTCAGAATGGTGGCCATGCGACCAAGAGCAGCCTTCTTCAGCTGCTTGCAGCGATACAGCGAGTCGCCGTACTTCAGCAGACGCACATAGTCCTTGGCCACGCTAAGGAGGAAGTTTCATGCAATGTTATAATGAGTTCCATTAGAACGGGGACTTAATATGGTACTTACGTGTCAACCAAATGCCTGGCTGTGTTGAGCTGGCCCAAAGCCAGTTTGTAATGGTCCTTGTCGTACAGAACGTTCATCAGATCCGCATAGAAGGGATGCACATCGTCCAGCTTGGGGAAGTCCTGTATGATCTGCGACAGACGGTCATGGAAATTCTGTTGCGTGTACTTCACCTTCCGCGTATAAAACGCTCGAATCCTCGAGATTTTGTAGCCCTTATGGACCACAGTGGGCGTCTTGCGCTGTGTCTTCGACAGCATAATGTCGATAAAGTCCTAAATGGGGAACATTATACCATTATTTACTTGTTGCGCATTTGTAAACACATTCGGTGAGGTTAGGTCGCATCCCACGGGGGTGCTGCGCTGGACATAACAACAAAAGAAGGCTGCATCCTCACTTACCTTGGCTGGCGGAACCACCATTATCTTCTTAAAGTTGTACAAACTCATTTTGTATGGTTTTATTTATTTTCCACGCGTAAAAAAGGAAAATAAACGCGAATCTCAAGCAAAAACACCACGCGGTGCCTGCAGTTGATGAGAGAAAGAGTGACCGTGGATTTATCGTTAAAAGATACCGACCGAACCTCAGAAATATACCTAAATATACCGTATATATACTAACGAATTCAAGTTTCATCATACATATTTCTCGATTTTTATATTCCGTGGAATATTACTAACTATATAGAGCATTTAGCCATGCCCACATAATTTTATCCGATTAGTGAATCTATTTTCTAATTCAAGCGTTTATTTTAAGCATTTGCTTATATTGCAGTGGCGTAAAAAGAGGTTTTCGCGAAAATGGTCAAACAAAAAAGCAGAACAAAAAAAAATCCGAAATGCATGTCAGTGGAAACATGCATTGTCAAATTCAAAACATTAATATTAAAAATATATATTTTCTATACTTCTGATCATAAATAAATCATTTAAAAAAATGTATAGTTGCAACCAAAAAAAAAAAAAAGAAAAAAAAGTCCGAAATGCATGTCAGTGGAAACATGCATTGCCAAATTCAAAACACAAACAAAATGGATTCGGAAGCAGCATCGTCTTCTTTTTTCACAAGCGAACAAATCCTGCAAATGCTCAGTGAACTGCCTGCTGCGGGATTTATGAAGCCGGCGGTGCCACCTTCACCTGTTCTACCGCCATTCAAGAAGCTGGGAGTTCTCGTTGACGCGGATGACATTATCGACGCAAAGGAAGCTACTGGCAACAGCAGCAGCAACAACAACAACTACATAAACAGCACACAATCCTATCTATGTGCCGAGTGCCGACGGACACTGCCTACCGCCCACCTGTTGGATCTCCACATCACCGAGCAGCACGATTTCTACTTTGCTGCCAGCGTGGAACGCGGCGATAAGCCCATGTTCGCCTGCTACCTGGAGGAGTGCGGCACCAAATTCCACACGCCGCGACAGCGCAAGGACCACTGCATCACGACGCACAAGTTTCCGGCCAACTATCGATTCGACCAGGACCACGGCAAGACCAAGCCCAAGGGCAGTGGCAGTGGCAAGAAGAGCGACGCCTCCATGGAGGTGGACGAGGTGCCGGAAGCGCGAAAGACTGTGCCATACATCAAAGCCTTCTGTTTCGGCCACCACACGATGCGTACGTTCAACACGCGAAAGGAGAGGCAGTCCGGCGACACCCTGGAGGACGTGCAGGACATGAAGGACGCCATCGACGACATCCTGGATTAGATTTACATAACTATTTATTTTGCGAATGAAGCAGCATTATAAGATAAAAGTATAGGTAATTTCCGTGAACATGATCGATCATTTCGCCTTTGGGCTAGACCTGAAAATAAAATTGAATTTATTGTTGATGCCGGCATGTTCTTTGATTTCCTTTAATTAACACTTACTTTCCCGTGTTGGCGTTGATGTAGTGATAAGCCACCACCAGGAGAAACAGAAACACTCCCAGAACGTTGGAGAAAATCGCCAATTGCACGTCGGTAATCATTTTGATTCTGAAAGAAATGTTGTAAACACGAAAATTGATGAGAACGCCTATCAACAGTGACACGTCATGGATGCGGAAACATCTAATTTGATAAATTCACGAGAAAGTCTTTTGGTAAATATGTTGCAAGGGGTCGTGGCTATCACTATTCACTAGTTAATACAAGAAATTTGGTTTATTTAAGTTAGTTTTTACCTTTTTGTCGGCGAAAAACGAGCGAAGAGGCCGGGTTTTGTATTGGATTTATCGGACGATGAAAAACACACTTAGCCCACGTAACCCCCTCTAATAAACTTGAACAACTACAAATAAAACTGTTTGTAAATTCTTCTTGTAGATCCATCCTATCCTTCCTATTAAATGACAAATATTAAATTAAATCTTTCAATAAACTGTAAAATTCAGCAATATTTATTATTTCGTTGGGAGTATTTGAATACCCAGTAGTCGACAATGGGTTAATCATTCTCTGTCCATGAGCATCAATCAAATTCCTCGATGTTGATATTCCATTTGATATTACTAGCTAGCTAGAACCCTCAGAGCTAAACCCATAATTTTATCCAATTGATGAATCAATTTTCTACATGACCGAATAATTGTAAAGACTCCGTTTTATTGGATTGTGTCTCGAAAACGAGATCCAAAAACCGATTCGAAGAAAACTGTTTGGCTTTCGATACTATCGACTGCTGCCACATTACAAATTAGTGCTGGAAAACGTTCGCAGCTGCCCGCAATTAGATATTTAAAAAGTTTCAAGTAATAGTCTAATTTATTGTTTTTTTTTCATGGTCATCTTACAAATAAATAAAATACTTTATGCATTGAATTCTTAGTCCTAATTTAAAGTAATACTTTTCGCATTTTGAGTCACTCTTTTGTGCTGCTCCACAGAAGGTCACTTGTTTGTGAAATTAGTTTATGTCGTATTTAAGACTAATTTGTATTAAAATTCCTTAGCGAATAATACAATAAATATCATCACAAAGATATCTTTCCATTGCGCTAACTTAAGATTAAAATCAACCTTCCGGGGAAGACATTTAAGTGCACTTGCAACGTAACTCTCACGGTACTACATAAAATGCAAACTCAAGAATAAATTAAAACACGAAAGCTTGGCTTCGTCATCTTTCTAAAAAGCATGCGCGAAATCAGATCCCTGTTTCAGCTACAGCATATGGAATTTGTGGTAGTTGTGGACCTCCACTGGGGGTTAATTCGTCGTCACGGTGATCCCCAGCGGCGGCGACTGCGTTGTTATTGTCGTGGCACCCATATCTTGGGCGGTCCGAGGCAGGTAAGGCTTCGTGCTGGACGTCTGGAACAGGTCCGAGACGTAGTTGGCCTGCAAGTAAAGGAAATTAAATAAACTTCATGTTGCAATAACGGAATTTCTAATAAATAAATGCTCCTAAAAGTATGCGATGATTCTAAAGCCTTTGCTTCCTTCCTTCTTATCTGTTTAATTGAATCGTTATGGAATGTGGGCGCTTTTCCCTCCATAGCTCGATTTATCCCCCCCTCTGATGAAGCGTGAAATTACAGCCGGACAGCTGCATGCCACAGCTGGTGCTTGCATTGGATGGGATATTAAAAGTCAACCCGAAAGCGGTTTCGTGCCATCGATTGGATTGATTGCCAGCAGAACCACACGCAATCGCATGACCCCGGGAAGGTGTTGAGTTATGCCAATTTGGAAAATGTTTCCCGTTCACCAATTAAAGTGCCAATAGCCACCACCAGAGGATAATGAATAGTCGGGGGTATGCTGGATTTGTGATGGTTTAATTGCAATTCTTCGTTACAATGTCCGAGCAAGTGGTAGGATGTCTCTCTGTCTTACTGTTCCTTGCCCTTGGAGGGCCACACTGTATGCCAATCGAACCAATTCTTGGGCAAACAGTAGCTCTAAAAAGATGATGGAAGTGATGCATCAATGAATCTACCCAAAGAACGAGGTGAACTATCACCCTCACTGGGATCATGCCGTGGGTTTTTGAGGTGGTGGGGGAAGGGACACAAGAATATCATTTACTTACCACAACTAAGGCACACGTGGAGCCAATCAGGGCTCCGGCCAGCACATCGGACCAGTGATGCTTGTAGTCCGAGACGCGGCTCAGAGCCGTATACCATGCAATCATGATGAACACAAACTGGAGAAGGTGACGCAGCAGCTTGGAGCCGTGCCAGGTCATGCGTGCCTGCAGATACAGCTGCAAGTGGAAAGGAGAGAAGAGGATGAGGCCTAGAGGACAAAGCCAAGAAGAAAGACAACTTACCGCCATGTAGACCATGGCAAAGAAGGTAAAGCTGGAGTGTCCGCTGGGGAACGAGAGGCGCATCTCTTTGAGCATGCGCGCCGACGAGCCGAGTCCCTGGCAAGTAAACTCCTGGATGTATTTGCCGGCATTCTGGGCATCGTTGCATGTGGTACCGTCTGCGAGGATGGGCTGGCACACCTGTAATCGAATCGCAACGGAAATGAGTACGAGTTTGACACCGACTTAAGCTGCTTATGGGTGGAGTATTTGTCTTTGTGAGAGACTTCCCCTGCGGATGGATCTCTGCCACATGTGCTGCAAATTAGAGATGGAAATGAGCCAACAGCTGCATCTGCATTGCATTTTGCTGCTCAACTGTTGCCGCACTTCACTAAACAATAGGGCGGCTCTGTGCGACTCCTCTTAGAAGGGGGGACCAGACCAAGCCCGACCAGAGCACCCTCGATCCGATCCCCCCAAAACGATCCCAACGATAAGCTAACAAGCCACTTGCCGCAAGAGAAATGTTTATGAAATAGCCTGACAAGCAGTCAAAATATCATAAATAAACAAAACCACTGGGAATGGCAGATTCAATATTGAATTGGAGTTGAAGTTGAATTGGAAATACCCTGAAGATACTCTCAGCTTTCGAGAGGGTATTTCATTTGGAGTTGCACTCGAAGATCCCTCAAGATATCTCTCTTTCCTTTTTAACGTTTTCGAACTGCTCCTTTGATAGAGTATGTATTCCATTTGGAGTTTTGTCACACCAACTGCAGTCACTCCCCTTTTGGACCAGTCTATTAATAACCCTTGCCCCCGCCACATCTTTAGAGTCTTTTTGACTTTGTCCCCAGCACTCGAGATTGAATCTGTCTTCGTTGTCCCCCCGTCAGAGTGTCGCACATGTGGCAGATTAAAATTAATTGGCAATGTCAAAATTGCTAACCAATTGCTAACCCATTCCAATTCCAGAAAGAACGCGACTTACCGCAATGAAGTGTGGACGCAGTCGACCGATGGAGTACTTGGCTATGTCCGTCGTTAGCTGACTGACGGCGGCCCCAAAGCCGTAGATGCCGACCTTCTTGTAGCACTCGATCAGCCAGTCGGGCAGCTCGTACTTCATGAAGACATACCGCCGACTGGTGGCATTGCCATTGTCCCGCTTCGCCTTGCACCGCGATATCAGTACCTCAACCGTGAGGATCTAGATACAGAGAAAGAGAAAGATTGATGGTAGTGAGAAACTATTGAGAAACAAGATGGGAGTGGGAATGGGAGTGGGAGTGAGGGTCTTTCAGTTGTCAGAGTTTCCTGTTAACACCTCGTAAAACCCTTTCTTTGTTTTTTTGGTTTTCTGGAAATCATTAAAATGCGCGCATGCAAATATTTATGGCGTCTGGCATGGAATGGGCTGTGACCCGTATCTAGTCGCATTAGGGCCAGACACATGTTGCTCTAGTTTTAATTGCTGACATGTGGACAGTAAACAGACGCCCGTCTATCCATCTATCCAGATGGCGCGGGGTTCTTGCATCAGATCCATTCCACTGCTGACAACTGAACTTGAAATGATGGCGCAATATTCGCTCAAGTATCTCTGATAGCTGCTTGACACAATTTCCACTCCATCCAACTCCCACTCTAACTCTCACTCCCCCCACAATTGGGTTTCCTCGACTTACCACACCAACGGGTATCACCACTCCAATGAAGTACAACATCCAGTTTCGCACTGTGGAGTCGTGGAACGGGTGCTTGAGCGATTCATCGTCGCAGAAGAAACCTCGCTTGTAGGGATCTCCCAGCAGGAAAAACAATAGAATGGGAAAGCCAACTGAAAGCGTAAGAAAAATATAGTAGTAGAGAATATTTATCAATTTATCAATATTTAGTAGGTCATCGTCGGGTGTCACATATCTATGGCGGGGGGCCCTGCTGACAGCTGCCTTATGGCTGATATGTCCTAAGCTATTGATAACGAAGAGTCCCCTCCTCGATTGACAGCCCGAACGTGCGTGGGGTTTTAATGTGGATCATAAACTATTGAAAGGGAGGAGTTATGTTTGGGGTTCTTCGGTTGTCCAATTAAAAATTCGTTGCCATTAATAATAACTCATCAACGGGGCATACAAATTGTGAGTCGTGCAAGCTGACAAATGGCCAACGGAGATGGAGATGGAGGGGCCCGATTGATGGATTGATTAGACGTTCAGCTCAGTGGAGTCCCTGCTCTATGTTTGTTTTACGTTTTGGGTGGAGAGCTACATTAAAATTGCATTAGGAGCTGTAGTTGTGGTTGCTCTAGTTCCAGCTCTTAATGATGCATGCAACATGCTACCTGCCACGAGCAATGCTCTGCTCGGGTCTGCTCTGCTTCATCCTCCCTGGCATAAGTCACTGAGGCATGGAAAATGAGAAAGTTCTTGGTCCCGCCGAGTGCTCATTAGGCAGAGAAACAGAACCATAGAGTGGCATGGAGTGCCAGGAGGAATGGACTGCAGTTGCAGTTGCAATTGCAGTCGGGAGACATCTCGAGTGCAGAGTTGGCGACGCTTTGGCCACCAGCACTTGAGGCAGACGACAACTTGTCCCCTCTCTCTTTTTTTTTTTAATTGGTTTCTTCTCTTTTCGCCATGCCGATCTTTGTGGTCCAAAACCCCCGAACCGAACCCAATCGAAGAGGCAACAAAGGTGGGTGACACAATGACCCCCTGTCCCTGTCCCTGTC